GATTCTGAAATATAAGGAAAATCCTATCAATTCACTTGTATTTTGTAGTTTTAAAAATATGTTAATAATATTTCTTAGTGTTTCAATTTTACACTATTCTAACAAAAAATTTAAACTTATCGTCAACTCCGGTTATAGTGAACTTTGGGTTGGTTCACTATATCTGATTGGTAGCGCTATATATGAGTAACAATTTGGTTCACTATATCTGATGTCAAAATTAAACAATTTCTCCATAACGATTGGTTTTAATGAATATGGAGATATAGCAAAATAAACTGAAATCTTCAATATCTTCATTTGTTCTCAAAAACAATTATTTTCAATTGTTTACTTCATATTTTCTCATTTATAATTTCTCTAGTACATTCTCCCGAGTTGCGTGCAGTCTTGACACCCTTCAATACCTCTTGCTCTGTTGGTACACCGTCCTACTCTCCAAATGCCCTTTTACTCACCTAATAATATACGAGATGCTTTCGGTAGCAGAATGGCACTAGCGGTTAATGAAACTGGTTGCTTTTCCGCACGACACAGCGTATATAAGGCTGTAGCAGGCCCACACTTTGTGTCGCTTACGTAGAACTCAACGCGCTTTGACCCGCGGAATATCAAATAACACCAAGATTGAAACTGAAGCAAGCAATTTCACGTCGCCACCGCCAGTTGCAGCACACGCAGGACACGGCTTTTGTTTCCACAATGAAACTGAGTCACATAAGGTCATCAGTGTGGTGCCCATTCTCGGTCCTTTACCTTCATCCCAAGAGTCACTACTTCTATTATGGCCTTTGGCCGACATTTGTTCAAGCTGCCCAATGACAAAATTTGTGACACTGCGGCGATATATTATTTTCCTGGAGGCAATTAATTTCCAGCATGTTGTATTTCCTACATCCTCTACAGCCGAGGTTCGGGTTTACTATAACCGAATCTTCTTTTGCTTATTCGTAATATAAGTGAATTTGGACCAGTGACTTCAAGTTCACTAAAACCGAGGGTTCACTATATCCATGTTTACTATAACCGGAGCCGACCGTATGTATAAGTAAGAATGACAGATTTGTAATTACATTGAAAAAACCACAAATTAAATAGTTCATTTTTTATTGAATAGCACAATATAAAATTGAAATACATCAACCACCAATATTCCATATTTTAAATATTATCTAATGATGCACGACACACTATGACAATTTCTTTGCGTATAGTGTAATCATATAACTTTTTATCCTTTTTTAAATTGTATTTTTTGATACATGTATTAAATAACTTTTTAAGAAGTGTCGGAGGCCCTTGATTATTGGGGTCCCTGGGCCCGGGTTCGTGCGTTAACTTGGCACTGTCAATACGCTGGTGGACATCGATAAGAAGCAACGGCGGGCAGCGTGGTTTCTCTGGAGGGAAGAAGTGACTACTTCAGACATCTACAATAAGTTAGAAACCATATGCGGGGAGACAAAGTCATCGACCTGTGTTTCGTTGAGTATCAGTGCTCAAAGACGTCAGGACTGTGCTGAAATTGTAAAAGCACAAGACTATCAGCAACTTCATGTCAGCTAAGTAATGCCCCAGCGTCTCAATGACTCGATAACGACGAACGTCGAATCTCGTTTTATGAATATGAGAAGGATAACTGGTATATCACAGGGAACTCTTGAAACCATCATCCATGAGGATTTGAAGAAGGTGGATGCCCCATACTATCACCATTGCGCCAAGCGTGGGAAGATGCACAGACAAATGGCGTCTATTCTGAAATCAGGAAGGGATAATTCTGGTGGATTGGCTTTCTCCCCGTACGACCATTAACAGTGTTCGGTACTTCAGTTCTCTGCACCAACTTCATCGACGCATTCAACAACGCCATTGCGGAAATGGGGAAGTGGCGTTCTTTTACAATAGGAAGCCATCATCGAGCCCACCATGGCCTCCATGCGTAAACTGGGGGTTTACTGTGCTCCCACGTCCTCCGTATTCGCTGAATCGGTCTCTTAGCTACTATGCCCTATTCCAGGGTAAAAAGGGATTTCAACATCTCATGTCGTTCGGTGATCTTGAATACTTCTCAGCGATTCTCAACTGACGATGTGGAAGGAAAATAGAGTATTTATTGTTGAATTTCACTTTTTAAAAACAGTGAAATGCGTATAAATATCTAAAAAAAAATTAGGACTTTTACAGTTAACAATATACTAGTAATAGTCTTAAATTGTGTTTTCAAACGCAAAGGTGTGGCGAATGTTTAGATACATGTTCAAAAAGAATATTACGCATTGTCCGCACAAAACCTTACAGTATCTATTTTCATCCATCTCATCTCATAGTCGGGAATGGACATTTTCCATTTATTTTACATATTAAAAAAATATGAATAAATTGGATGTATAATATGACTTCAGACTGAAAATTAGTACCAATGATCTTGATGTCAATATTTGTGCGAAACAATTCAAGTCTTCTAAGTGTGTGATGGATAAACAGTGTTTCCTCTGGAGTTGGACTTGTTTTGCCATTAATATTTCACTTGTAATTCTCATTTATCTCTCTATTTCATGCCTGTTTTTTACAAATAATTCAATACATTGTTTTTATTAGAAAAATCTTCAATTTCTAATATTAATATATTTTTAAGTGCAAATTTTCTCCAGGCTTGTATATGGTACGTAAGATCTGAAAAAAGATTGAGACTCCCTGTCGAAATTCCGTCTTGAATGTTAATACAAAAGTAGGAAAAACAACTTTGTCCTTGGTGACCTTCAAACTTCCAGGCGACAGGCGAAATCCAGAGTTCTCGATGCCAGTCGTCCGTGGGAAGACAGCATATATGTTGTGTGTGTGTGTATAAAAGAAAATAAATTTTTTTAAAATTAAAATGTTCTGAAAATAGTGTTCTACATCAATTTTCTGTAGATTCTATTTTATTTTATTTTAAGAAAAATGTTTAGGTTGATTTGATAGAACACGGTATAGCAGGACAAGGAAGTCGTTTAAACCGGTTAATCCACTGTAGAGGGGATGAAGGGTCATGAGGGAAATCTTTTGGTGGGCGATCGAAATAAATTATAAAAATTACACTACTGAAATATATTTTAATAGTTCGTAATTGGTCACGATCGTGATGTAAGTTATGGGAAGTCATTTCACCCTAAAAAAAGTCGGAGCTCCATTATCAAATAGTGCTGCAATCATGGAGTGTGCCCCTGTGATTTTGTGTGTCAGGGTTGCTGACGTACATTTCTTGTGCTCTTCTGGTTCTTTATGGTTTGAGTGTCGAGTGTTGGTGCCACGATGGTGTGAATAAATGAAGGCTTTTTATTCGTTTCTCCAAAAGGGTAATTTGGCTGTATTTGAGTGGACGCAAGAACGTTGTTTGATTGCTGCGGGAATTACGAGTCCTGTGTGTTAATGTCCGATGTGTTTGACTCAATGGGTGGGGTGATCGTTTCGAATGGAAGTGCAGTAAGAAAGGGGCCACTCATACACGTGAGTGTTCTGGGCAAAAGGGGTCTACTGAGAGGCTTTTGTCGTTCCTTGCGGGTGTCTCTGAGCTTAACGACTCGTGAAAGTCATACATCGGTAAGTTGAATTAATTTCTCTCAAAGAATTTAGCGTAATTTAAAGGAGGAGGGGACTTTTAAGGGACTCCCCTCCCCCTCCCTTCTCCCGCCCCCCAACCACCGCCGCAACACTTATTTAAGGGTGTACCGCGTTCTCTACTTTAACCAATGTTTATTTATGAGGATGGAGAATAGAATATTTAATTTGGCGCAAAGTTAGATGAGTTTTTAATAATCGATAATAAGTTTTTATAAACACTAGCTGAAATATCTGGTATTGACCGGATGTGTATCAATCACAAAAGTATATTTAACAGAAAAAGGATTTAATACTATCCGTCATGTCAAATTGAAAGAATTTAATTTATACCCTTGCTCTACCTCGCTCCATCTCTGTCACACTTTGCTCTGCCCACTCTTTTCTTCAGTTTCCCGTCCTCCTGTCTGTATAAACAAATATACAACTTTAATCTTCAGTAACTCCAAGTCTTAATTTGCAAAATTCAAAATAAACAAAATGTTTTATGTAGATTATTTTATGGACATTCAGAAAATCACTATGTACATTGGAATACTGCTTTAAGGTGTTGGAAAGGTTTTGTTCGTGTTGTTTTAATTTATTTATTTTTAATGTAAACAATGACCTCTTGTTTTCAAGGTAAAGTGTAAAATTTACCTTGTCTGATCTGATTCGCCTATCATCGCCCTGTCATGTCCATTGCACTGCAATGGATCCTCTGACCGGGAGGTCGTAGGTTCGAGTCCCGTCGGTGGATTTGACACTAGCTAGAGAGCTAGGTCGAAGTGTGCCGCTACCTGGAGGAGAATTGTAGCGGTCTGCTGCTCTGATCTGTAGTTTTCCGTGGTTTCTCCGATCAACACCAGGCGAATGCTGGAGCAGTTCCTCCCCAAAGAAACGGCCCATGGATCGCGCACAAGCTCTCCTTCGTCTTCCTTGCCCTATTCTCGCCCTTTACACACACTAACTTAAAATACTCGTATACCTGGAGGTTACAGCTTGTCCCGCTTGGGGCAGTGTCCCGCTAGTTGGGGAATAAGCCACTAGCTGACGGTAGGTCGGCGCCGTATCTCACTATCCAGCGGGGGAAGATCACAGCTACCTCCTGAGAAAATAACGTGCACCACACTTACGAGACTAATGACTTTAGCCGTTGCCGCACCTGTTATCACTAATCAGTCATGTCCATTACAATCTTTGCCAAAGGGTACTTGTAAACATTTGGTTCATTATTCTTCATGTCTTCCATGAAGAAAATTGACTCCGGCTGTGAAAGCCTACAATGCTGTATTTGGTTCATTGTTCCATACTTCCAACAAACTTCCAGGAAAAAAACAAACAATAAAAAACGTATTTCACTCTTTCAGAGAATTTTGCATAATCCATGGTTAAGTACAATGAAATAGCTGTTTTCCCAATTTCACGTTTCCACAGATATTAATCAGTAGATTTGGCTGTGCATTGTTATATGTTTGTCAATTACTTTTCTCTTGTTTGTATATTAGTATTATGAAAGATACTTATTTTCCCACATAAGTGTTACAATTTTAAATGTCTTGCACATGAAAAGCTTCTTGTATTCTGCTTGTGAATAAGGAGGAAGGAGGGTCCAGGAACGAGAAGCGCACGTGAAGTGCACGAGAAGCGCACGTGTGTAACCAATGTCATTTGCAGTTTGTAGTTTAGTATCATAACATTCACATGTGTCGTTATTAAGAAGAAGAATATAAAAATAATTGCATTTTTAATTAGTTTTTTATTTTATTTTTTTAGCAACGAGCTTTAATAGAGCAACAGGAGATGAGACGCCACCAAAAAGAACAGGCTGAAAAAGAGAGAATGCGATTAGAAAATGAACGTAGAAGAGAAAGGGAAGAAGAAGAAGCTCTTGAGAAAGCTAGGTAAGTATAATGCAATTATTTTGAAGGATCTTTATTTTTTATTTATTGGTTTGAAACAGGCAATCGCCCTTTGAATACATATCATTTATTGCATAATTACTTAATTCTATGAATTTGATCACATACAATATCGCTTTCACATTAAATATTCAGGAAAAGTCATTTAATAATACATTTTTAATTTGTATAAAACAGTTTTAATTAGAGTAAAAATCTATTCTAAATTTATTTGCTAGATTGCACATTCTCCATAAAGCTGCATAACGAAATTGATTTGTTTTCACAAATGGAAAGTAAAAGATATCACTTTTTATGTTACAAAGCCTCATTTCTGGAACTTTCAAAAATAGTTTTGAGTGTAGGTTGATACAATCAATTTCATTCGCATTTTAGATCGTTAACTTCCCTTTGAGATTTTAATGAGCTGATGTTCAGAATGCTAGCAATTTGATAATAATCATGACTGATTTTAGGTAGGGGTAAATTTAGTTTCCATGCCACGAAATTTAAAAATGTATGTTGTATTCTCTCTAATTTTCTTGACTTATTCTCATATATTGGTGACCACACAGAGGAACAATAGAATAGGTCTAACTTACGTTAAGTGTAAAGTTTTAAATGAAATTCATAGTCATTCTTCTAATAAATCCGAGCATCCCAGATGCTTCTGATATAATGTGATCAATATGATTTGAAAACTTCTATTTTGAGTCAAAAATCACTTCCAAATCAAGTATTGAAAATGGGTATTATTTCTTAATCTAGTATAAGTCATGGTTTTACATTTTGATATATTTAGATGAAGTTTATTATCATTGCACCATGAATTTAATTTTGATTGTAACGTAATACAGTCTTGCAATGATTTTATTTCGGAATATAGTTTCAAATCATCAGCATAAATCAAAAATGTGCGCGAAGGAAGTTTTAGTTTTATGTTATTGATAAATAATATAAACAATAGTGGACCCAAATGTGAACCTTGAACACCTGATTTAACTTTCATGTCTTTCGAAATAAATGATTTATATTTTACATTCTGAATTCGATCATTCAAATAATTTTCTAACCATTTTAGTAACGGTCCATGAATTCTAAGATTTAACAATTTTTGTAGTAAAATATTGTGGTTAACAGTATCAAAAGCTTTTGTGAAATCTGTATAGATTACATCGACCTTTGCATTAGTTTCAAATTTCTCTAAAGTATAGTGTTGAAATGTTAGTAAATTCGTGGTTGTTGATCTTTTTTGTCTAAACCCATGTTGTTAAACTTCCATCTGAGCTATATCTAATCGGGATATATTAATGTCTGAATATGTGTACGTATCATCTATTTCAACACTGGAGTTAAGATTATCAGGTTCGATGAATAAAGATTCAAAATAAGTTGCAAACATGTTAACAATGTCTTGACCATTTTCGGCGAGAGAATTATTAAAAAACATAACATTCGGTAATCCACTAATTCCTCTACCCGAGTTTCTAAACTCCCAAAATGCTCTTATATCATAACGCAGTGTTGATTCAATTTTAAGAATATAAGATTCACAGTCATCAGCTGATTTAGTTTTACATTTCCTACGCAATTCCGAAAATCTCAAATAGTTAAAGTCACATCCTGATAATTTATAGTTCGAATATGCTACACTCTTTTCTTTCAATAATTTTTTCAGTTCTTTTGAATACCATAAAGGATATGAATCCAAATATATGATTTGTTTCGGAACATTATTTTTGATGATTTCATAGATTTTATCAGTTAAATGACAAAATTTCATAATTATTTTTTACGCAATCTGCGTTATCAAATCTATATTTCATGTCAATAAGATTAAGACTTGAAAATTTATCATTTAATGAAAATATTATATCTAAGGTGGGATGGTAAGAATCACATGGTACGAAAGTGCAATCAGGTTCTCTAAATATACAATTTTCACTGTGACAAAATATCATATTCAATGTTCTATCCATGACGTTTAGTATCTTATTTGATTGAAAAAGATTAAGTAATTCATTGAATTTGATATTAAAGATGCTACTGTAATTTCATTATGTGAGGCATTCGAATATTCGCACATTATCTCCCAGTTTACATTTTTCCAAGTAACATGTGGTAAATTAAAATCTCCAACAATGAAAAATTGAGATGTCGGATTTAATTCAAATATATGTTCAAGCAGTTCTGTGTAACTCACATAATCAAATAAAGAATTTGGAGGAATGTAAACTGCGTTGATAATTAAACTAGAGGTACCCAACTTGATAAGAATATAAAGTAGTTCTAAGGATGTTTGTACTGGAGTTATATCTACGCTACTGAATTTACGATGAATCGCCACCAAAACTCCGCCTCCTCTCTCATGTTGACTAGTAGATATGTGTTATATTTTTGTGTACTATGGAACAACAATATATTTTTTAGACAGCCACTACTAAAAGGACCTCTTTCAGGGCACGCCTAGCATTCTAAAAGTTCAATTTTTACCACTAGTGCTAAAAGTGAAACGATGTTCAAGTGTGTTGATAAATCTGTGAATGCAACAAAGAAAACAAAATACTTTCATCTGATGAAAGAAACAAAAAGGACATAAGGACAGAATGACAAAAAGAACAAAAGGTCAATAAGGTCAATTTTAGAGCATTTCATAATTTTCAGCTTAGAATGCATATTTCCTCCACAAGTTAAAAAAATTTAAGAAATTTTAGAAAACAAGAAATGTTGCTTTTAATTCATTTTCTGACATTTTTTTATGATAAAGTACTTGTACGACAATTGGATTTATATTTAGGTGGTTTTAGTACCATAATTTTGCAAGTACATGGACTTTTTTTAAATAATATTTATTAAGTGATAAGATTTACACATATTTTATTGTAATTGAATTTATCTTCAAAAACACTGCACTTTCAGTTTGTTATATTATTTGTGTCATGTTTATAATTACTACTTTTTTGTAGTACTATTTTCTAACACTTTCTGGACAAACCTACATACTTTGACACATACAATTTTTCTGTTGTTAATTATTTGGTGTACTTCCGAGCTCATATTGTAATTCCATTTGTAAACAGAAAAGCCGTTCAGGAGCAACAACAGCAGACTCGACAGGATGACATGAAAACTCTCCCAACTGAAGGAGGCACCAGTCCTGGACAACAGGTTCAGGATAAAGCTGCTGGAGAAAGAGAGCGACAAAGGCTAAGAGAGCAAGAGCGCAGGCGAAGAGAAGCGGTATGTATACATGCTTTCTTTTTTTTTCCCCATGTTTGTACTTCCTTGAAGAACCTTATTCTTTGTTGATCTAAAATTTGCTTTCTTTCTGTTTCTCTTGGCTGCAAGTGTAATCCTTCAAATGGTGGTGATGATGATGAAGAAAATGGGGCCTTTTAGGCTCGGCTATTTTTAAATTTAACAATTCGCAAGAGCTGCTATAGCTTGAGAAACGTCATCCTTCTCCCCCCTCCTGCCTGTCGAAAAGATTTTGTTATATCAACGTAAATCTTGTAAAAATGATGTAGTTGGAAGCAAATGTTGATATAAAGTTTGTTCCACATTTTTTAGATAAAGTTTGTTTCGGGAAAAATTACTCCTTCCAATTAAATTTCTTCAATTTATTTTTAACCTTTACAGCTGTGTAAATTACTGAGTTAATTGTTCTTGGCAACATAATGTTATTTTTTGTCAATAAAAAAATCTTAATCTATAGTTGAGAATTGTGTATTTATCAGTTCAAAAGTTAATGCAGTTGAAAAAAAAAAAATTCTCAGACTTAAATGAAAATAAAGTTTTCAAAGAATATGCACGCTCCCAGTTTTGACCTATGAATGTAAATCATGGGCTATAACAACTAAGAAACATTAAAGAATACAAAATGTTTGAGGCTTCATTTAAAGGCACACCCAAAAATCATAATATGTTTCAAAACTCGAGAATCATTCGATCTTAGATCAGTTTTGGAGCAAATCTGCTCAACGGTGTATGTGCTAGCTCTGACAATAGACAGATGGTGGATAGATCAATTTTCAGGACAGTTGTCAATTAATTTTTTGGAATCAATGACAACAAAATATGAATTCTGACTACATTCAAACTTACACACTGTTTAGGTTTAAATCACAAAAAGAAAAATTTAATGGAAAACCTAGAAATATTTGAATTATTTTAGTAAATTTGCAAACTTTTTTCCTACATATATTCAAAAGAACATACTGACAGCATGAGGTGTTTCACATATCAGTCTGCTGCACATGATTACTTTGGGTAAACCACCTCCAACTGCATATATGTTGTCAGAAGTGCATAAGTGTTGAGAATATTATCTTTAGGGGGAAAAGTAATATTGATATTGTGATCTCTAATCCCAATTTTTGAAATATATTGCTTGTCACAGATGTGTAGAATTTCAAAGACAATGTTGCTTGCTGATCATTGAGATCCCAAGTTTGTGTGATAGCTGTCATTGCTCTCAAACATAATACTATGTATTGTTAAAAAATGTAATCAAGTAGGACAAGCATTATTTATTTTTAATATTGATTTAATAACTATTTTATTTAATGTAAAGTCGAATTGTGTAAATTCATTTGGTTTTCTTGAAAGTGTTCTATAAAAAAGAGCATATTTTGAGAAAATGTATTTAATCCCTTTTTACATTCTTATCATATTTTTCCAGACTGAATACGGATTTAAACTTCTGGTATCAAATTTCTTAGAATACTGACATTGAGACCAAGATTATTATTATTATTATTATTATTATTATTATTATTATTATTATAATTGTGTTTTAGAAGCACCTTTTCCATAATTATAAACATACATTAATGTTTATTATTATTATTATTATTATTATTATTATTATTATTATTATTTTTCTATTTTCTAGATGGCGAGTCAAATAGACATGAACATGCAGAGTGATCTGATGGCTGCTTTTGAAGAATCATTATAATGAAGGCAAAAGTTAATTGATTTAGTTTAGTGTAAATGATATACTTGTCAAGTCATTAATTATTTTTTGTGAATGTATGTTTTTGTATTCAAGTGAAATGGACACCAATGTGAAACTCTTTTAAAAGAAGAACAATTCTGAAGGAAATGTGTGTGGACTTGTACAGTAATTTCAGGAAAATTCCAGACATTTAGGGAAGGACAAGACCAGTGGAGTTAAAAAGTGTTGTGCTCCATAGAACTGGTGTAATATATTAATTTTCTCCAGGGATTACCACGTATGTATTTGTTTTCTTATGAGCATTACATTGATGTTGGACATCTAACCTTACTTAACTTTGTACATAATGTAACCTCAATACAATATTCTGATGTAGTTTTTTGTTGTTAGTTCTTTTGCTTCAAGTGAGGTTAGGTAAAATCTTTGCATTAAGTATATATAAATATATATATAAGGATGGCTCTACTTTGCAATATATCCTTCATCATTGTCATAGCTCATTGAGCGCATTTTGTAAATACGTAGTAAGGGAAAAATATAATTGTAATTTATTATTACATATTGACCTGTCTTCAATTTCTTCTTGTGATCGTGTGTGTTGTCATGAACACTGCTCTGTATACTATTTTCTTTCCCTGTAGTAGCCTTATACTTCTTTTTATTAAAGAGAAGTGTAAAAGTGTTAATTTAGGGTTCCTATTATTTTGTATCTGAAGGTTTAAACATTTTTCTTAGCTTGTAATAAATTTTTAATAGTAATTTATGACATGAAATTGGTCTGAAACACAATGTTGCAGAGAAGTAAGTTTCTTTGTCTTGGATGTGAACTGTAGGTGTGTATCTGAGTGAATGCTAGGTATATTTAAAATATTGCATTGAAAGTCAATAGTTATATTATAAAAATGTCAGTTTGTTAAGGAATTATACGGAAACGTACAATTAATGTGGAACTATATACATGAGACTTGAGTCAAAGAAAAAATGCATAATGTCCTGAAATCATTTATTTTGCTAACTGTAGTAAGTCATGTGTATTTTGGAGGAAATTGTATGTCCATCAAATTAAGAAAACATCAAAAGAACATTGAGGTCTACTGTCTCAGAAAAATGATGGATAAAGAAATCAATGTGCATTTATTTAGTCCTACTTCTTATGACATTGACCTGGTTTACTATCAATCGTAGGTTTTCTTCTAGATCAAAAAATGGTGTGATTTCTTTGTTATTACTGAGTGAGGTAAAAAGTGGTTCACTAAAGAACTTTACAATTTACACGAGATATGAAATGCTTGTCTTCTCATTGTTTGTAAAGATCAATTCAAAAATAGACAAATATTTGTACAGAAGATTGTTAAATGTTGTTCTTAAATACAAGAATAGTCCTTTTTATTTTTATGATTTTGTACATTATACTTTTCATGCTAAGGGTATGTAATTTATCCAGCGTCCCAAAAGCGAAATATCCTCTGTTATTACTGACTGAACTTTTGAAAAATGTAAGGTATTTAAGGAAACAGTCAACTCTCATGTTTCTGTGTTTATTTTCACTCTACATATATTCCCCATTTCTTCATTTCTGCACGTCAACATGTGTTTTTCAATATTTTATGAGTGCAGTAATTGTTTTGAATAGCATCTACACAAACTTTTTAAAAGTTTCTGCCTGGAACATTGCAGTGATCTTGGGAGTGTTTCCCGATCCATAGCTTCCATAGAATGCGAATATGATGCTCCACACTCCTGTCGATATGCAATATTGACGTGATTACTTAATAAACATTGAATTGGTAGCTGTTAAACATGCAGGTTGGTTTAAATGCTTCACCAAATAAATGTGGAAAGGTTGTTGTGTACTTAAAATTTAAGATCATGTTCTGATGTATGCAAAATATTATTTTTAATTTTGAAATTGATCTATTGTAAATAATATAATTTTGTGAAGTCTTAGCATTGCTTTTGAAGCATGAGAGTTAACTGTATATAGCAGGTAATAGTGGATGTGAATACATTCCACACTATTATAAGATGAGCTATTTTCAATATTAAAATAATGGGAAGTTATTATTTGTGAATCTGTTGATCTGAGACTTCATCCAATGTTCTCTTTCTTTAGTAACTTTGATGATACAGCTGGAAGTGTTGCTTTTTGTTTCAAATGTATTGTTTTGTTATTTTTCATTAAATATTGGAATTATGATTTTGGCCATGTGTTTGTGCTAAAGAGGGAGTGAGAAAGTCTTAGAAATTTTTTCCAAATTAATGGGCGTTGAAATACCTGTGTTTTGAATGTGATTTGTTGCAGATATCTTCTGTGCATTAAAATAATTGTGTTAAAAAATGTATAATTTGAAAAAAAAAATACATGGACTTATTGATATTTGACTGCCGTTATTTTTATTTTTGTTTTTCCACTTAGAGAATGTTGGTGTTTGACTTGTCAAACGAAGTGTAAACAAATGCTTAATATCCTCTATTTTCTTTACCTAATTTATATTAATGATTAATATTTACTGTTAATTATATTGTAAAATCCTAGAAGAATTTATATTATTTTGTTATTTATATTATCTTCAATTTGGTTGTGATTTGTTGTTTCAAAGATAAAAAGGTAGTTCCTTGATATTTAACAGTTGTTGATATGTTTTTCATGTATTCTCTTTGAACATTGGGTGAATGCCTCATTTGTGGCAAGTACCCACAAAGAGATATGGCTTTATTGGCTATTTTATCACTCAATAAATGCAATCAAACTTGTGTAATAATTTTGTAATATTACCATTGTCTCAGGAATGATGAGTATAATTTTATTTTGTAGTTGGTGAAATAATAGGATTGATGTATTTTCTTTTGTTTAAATTGTATCACACCAACTTCTCAACTGAGTTTTGCTTTCGTAAATAGTATTACAAAGGTGACACATCCTCATTACAATACAACTATTCACCAATTTTATGTAAATACTTATTGGTGAGAACTGTCATTTGTGTAAGTAAATTAGATTTCGAAAAACTTTTCTGATTAATTTTTTGAAATATTTCATGACGTTCATTTTAATGATTTTGAAGTAGAAAAAAATTTAAAAAACTACAATACTATTGTAAAGAAAATTGACCTATTATCACAAAGTTTAACATCTCATGCAATGACGTACCTGTAAGACAAAGTAGTTATTCTAGATGATTGCCTATTTAAGCTAATGGAGCTATTTTCTCTTTCAATAGGTACTTTGGTTTCTTAGAAGAAAATTTTGTTAATTTCAGTACTTATTTCATGTGCAGTTACCTCACCTAGTACAGAGGGGGCTGTTAGAAAATCCTGTTCACCTTAGTAAACATACAAAGAAAAGCAAAATACATGTGTGAGAATACCAATGTGTGTAAAATACTCCCATAACATCTGATTTGAAAAAGAAAAAAAAATTTATTAGAACACTGATGACTACCAAGTGAAGTATTTCCTAAAGCTAGTAGAATATTAGAAGTGATTCGTGTTCATTTCCTGGGGCAATTGACTCACAAGTTCAATGTAATTACTGAATGTGTTGTGTTGTACTAAGTGAAAAAATTTCAGCTGAAAGCAACAATATACCAGTTAAATATGTATATATCAACTAGCTAACAGGTCATAGAATGAAGCAATTTTATTTATATATCCATTGAAGTTACCTCCAAATGTATATTACTTAAAGTTCAGTAACGAGTTAATACTGTACTTGTGCTGTGAACCAGCACTTCGCAATGCAATCGTTTTATCTTGCTTGTCATTTTCTTTGCAACATTTGGGATGTTTTGGTATGTAGCTTAATGATTTACCTGTGTATTAGAATTTAGTTCTAGTTAATGCACTAAATTAAAATAAGAGAAATTTAGATATCATTTGCTGGTACTATTTAGGGACAAAAACATGGTACATTGAACATACCAAAAATAAATTGCTACTTTACAGCCAAGTAGTTCACAATGCTATCCTTTTTTCTCATTGCCTTTTCCTATCCTGGTGTGAATTATATTTAGTGTGATATGTACCAATGGGTATACACCATTTCAAACAAATCTAAATCATTACGGACATTAAATTATTTGTCGCATTCTCCATAAATTCCAAACTATAATTTGTTGCCCTACTGAACTCACTGACTGTGTTATGACAAAACAATACAATGTTTTAAGAAGACCTACCAAACGAATGCACAAAGTTGTGAAAATATGAATATAGTCACTTGTACTAAGTGTTAATCCAAGCAAGTCATTATGAACATCAAGTAATAGGTGTTTTTTTTAATGTAAGAATCAATGGATTAGGGATATCACAATAACAAATGTCTTTGGAATTTACAATTACCAAAGTACCATTGCCAAACTATTTTATTGTCTAACAAAAAAAAACAAACAAAACAAACAGCAGAGTACTTCACTCAAGGAGTGGATCAGATACTTCATATACAAGATAAAAAGAAACCCTTGCTGATGTATAGGAATGGAATGCAAAGTAACAGCATTCAGCAAGAATTCTTTACAATCAAAGAAGTAGTATATTTAAGAGTATACACACAGTATTTTGCACCAGGCATGCATGACATTACGTTTCATTATAAAATGATCTTGTTTTACCAAGCATTATAAAATTTGTATTAGATCCTGTGTTTTCAAATACTGCAAAGAGTTTTAAAGAGAACTTTTAGAACACTTTGACACTTTCAATTTTAATTCTTATCTTTACAATCATACAAAATTCAAACATACATTGTACAAATGCATTGATAAAAATGGTTTTGTGATAATGAAATCACAATCGTTCCATTGAGCCTATTCAATAAAGCTGATTAAAATAGGTTTCTGGAAGTCCTGTTTCAAAAACATTTAAGTTGTCATCGGAACATGCTCCTTTTCACAATGCATGAACTATATGAGAAACAAATAACGGAAACTGAAAATACTGAAAATGTGGCCAGGCTTAATCAGAGAGGGAATTCATTGCTTTGAGAGCCCATTTTCTTTAATCAGAAAAGTATAAGCCACTACCAACGTAATCGAAAAGGCTGTTTTTAAAAATCCTTTTGCTCTGCGGCATGTTAAAGAATAAAAGTATAGCAAATTTTTGACAAAATACTAACAGACAGACATACTTTCTTATTGTCAAACTAAATAAACAGAGCAAAGCCATAACTTTTTCATGTCAAACTTTTACCATTTGTCAAAATAAAATATAGTTGATCACACAAGCAAGAGAATTCTCAGTCATATTGATGATAACTGTAACAACCAACACTAGTTTGCTTTGTGCAAAACTTGCAGACCATCACAATGAACGGCAGAATATCCACGTATCACCTGGCTTGGTCTGCATACAGTAGATAACACAGAATGTCAACTGAGTTCATACTAAAATGCTTCTAGTTGAAGGCAATATCAATGGCAATGTTCAGTAACATCCACAATTACCGATTTCTTCCAGCCAAACAAGAAGTAACCAGTAGCTGCACCAACCACTACAGCTAAGCACAGCCATATGTTGTATGTCATAAAAATTAACATCAGAAAATAACTAAGTACAATCTGAACCACATGTAAGAACGTCTGAAATCCATGCATTAAGCTGAACATTGTAGGCCTGAAAAACAAAAGGAAGTCATTAGAAATGTATTAATCCTTAAAGCTCATTTTATGAAGAACAAACTGCAAGGCATGAACCAACTTCGACACTAATTTGTCAACTATATGGCACCTACTATATGCATATATGGATTTGTACATTAAGAGCAAGAGATTTGGTAAGTTTGAGTAACTGAGCCCATATTTTTACATTTGTAACTTAGTTTACTCTTAAACATTTATATTCCAGTGTTGGGTGGATCCAGCTACCCCATTTCCTGGAGAAATTGTAACCATCCCTTTGAATTTTCATATAACACTTATCATATTTCTATAGAGCATCTGGACCATCCACAATTGCAAAACAAATATTCAAGAAACACTTCACTCCCTGATGCGGTTCCCGTTTTGAAAATTAATTAAATATTCCAATCCAGGTCTTTTATCTCTGAAACGTTGTTTTTTAGACAGTTTACATTCACAAAATACTGCACTCTGTCCAAAACCACCTCTAGGTCAAACTCCCTCTTCTCCATTTTTCGAAGACAAATGCCTGTTGGTGCTCAAAACTAAGTGGATGTTGAGGTCTTCCTTCTCCTCCCAAGTCATTCTGGGAAACAATTACTGTACCAACATTCCATTCACATTGGGGTGGAGGGTGCTCCTGGGAACCAGCAACCAGAAGGTTACACATAGTTTCCATTTTTAATATCTTTAACTGCCTTGCCAAGAACCCGAACAGTATATTTTCTGTGCATTTTAGTTCATTTCTTGACATTTGTTAATAAATATAATACTCGCCACGTAAAATAAGGCATAATTCAATTCAATTCAATTTCAAATATACTAACAAGTAATAAGGATGCAAATACTTCACTTTAAGATCATTCAAATTATACATGCGCAATTATCAGGCTTTTTGAACCTACAGGGTAACAGCCCTAACAAGGACCAGTTACTCATTCAGCCACGATCTAATAGGGGATATCTGGGTCAACTGAGAACACGGATTGAAATTTTGTTTACCAACCATCCATTTAAAAATCCCTTCGACATAGTCTCTCTAAGTGATTCAGGTAACAGCAGTTTATATATACTAAAAAATGTAGGTACCAACAAATGGATCGTGAGAGCGCAGGCTTCCACGGCCGTAGTCAGTATTTACTTGGCTGTCCGGGTGACGCCGCGTCCATAGCGAAGGTGCCGACGTACGTAATGCATAACGCCATGTGGAAGGGCGCAGAATGGCGACCGAAACGTCGGCACCTTCAGTCACCCGGACAGCCAAGTAAATACAAATGGAGATCGATCTGGTAGTTGTAACCAAACCCAAAGATGCAAAACCTCTTGATGAACTTTATTTGTATGTACGATGGACAAGAGGGCAATGAGCAGTGGTTTTGGAATGTGCCACTCATCTGTGATGTCAAGTCCCCAATGTAAAATGACACATAAGAGGTTTGGTCCAGATACACATGGGTCCATTCACTCAAAGTTACCTTGAATAGAAACATGCAAATGAGATAATGGATGCACCTTCACTTTGAAAATGCAAAGAAAAACCAAGCCAAACAAATCTACATTGAAAGAATAAAATTTGCAGAAACAAAAGCAACACATGCTGGACAATGTTATTCAACTTACGGTTGTTTATGTATGACTTCTCCTACCATACTGAACGATCAGCACCACAAACAGAATTATATATTATTTTAAATTCATAAGACAAGAACATATCAATTATAATTATTAATTTTCACAACCATGTACAGAAAAAGTACTACAAATCGCAAGGAATGTGCTGGATAAGCACAATATGTACTATGAATCAAGAGAGCCAATCTACATATATAGACACTGGTGAATATAAACTCTGATCTTCCTGAAGAGAACATGTTTGTATACCGTTCTGACGAACTGAGATAAATGAAACTTGAAATCAATAAAAAATATTTTGAAATACTCACTGTACAATTCGATTATCTTCTGACACTACTCCTTTCTCTGGAGGCATGGAAACAGATCTGTACTGTAGTGCATTGTAAGTTCTCCAAAACAGATATTCCCTGTAATTAATATGATGAAGAATCAATCAGGACAGTTTTGAGAAAATGTCCCTACAATGATCAAGTGCAAGATCATACCTGTAATATTTCAATCCCTCATACAATGCCGCCATAATAAAAATGCCAATCATGGAACCAATAAGACTTCCAACAGAGGTCACTTTCCAAGTATTGAATAAAACAATTTCACAGTACCCACCATGAAAAAACATCTGGGGGAAATTTTCATCATCAATCAATCCATCCGTTATCACAACAAAATAATTTTTATAAATGTTCACTGTGCATAACATACCATCATCATTGAATGTCCACTTAAATCACATTCGTTACCATTATTGTCATGATGGTGACCTTCGGTTGTGGTCTGAAGCGAGACATGTGGTTCACTTTCATGGTGGTGGTGCTCGTGTGCCATCTGTAAAGAAACAGAAATCGAATATTTGAGACACATACTTCAAAAAGTTTAACTTCCCATGAGTTCTTAAACTACTGAATAAAAAATACAGTCTGCAGTATACAGTCTGAGAAGAAGAGTTTTTAAAAAAAGTAAGGCTGTCAGTTTTCCTTTGATATTCCATAAATTTCCATGAAAATAAAAAACAATTTTGAATGATTTATTCATTCCTCTAATCCAATAATATAATAACATTAGTTTCGTATTACTTCCCCCTGAAACTGTATTAGTGTTGAGGTCTAGATTATTCTCCTCTTATTTATTCTTCTTGGACGAAAAAAGTCTCTGAGCCCTTAACGAGAAAAGTCGGCACTCAGTCAAACAGAAGGCGCCTTACCGCGATAAGAGAAGGCTAAACAGACAATTTAATATTCGATCCCCGATTGTTTTTCAGATCTTTTGCAGTTTTGTTCTTGTTGAAATAAAAAATAGACTTATCTTGATATAAGGTCATACACAATTTTTCGAAAACGAGT